GACTTCTAGTTAAAAAAAAAGGTATTTGGATACGACTTCTATTTAAAATAAGGTATTTGGATACGACTTCTATTTAAGAAAAAGGTATTTGGATATGACTTCTAATTAAAAAAAGGTATTTGGATACGACTTCTATTTAAAATAAGGTATTTGGATACGACTTCTATTTCAGAAAAAGGTATTTGGATACGACTTCTATTTAAAAAAAAGGTATTTGGATATGACTTCTAATTAAAAAAAGGTATTTGGATACGACTTCTATTTAAAGAAAAGGTATTTGGATATGACTTCTATTTAAGAAAAAGGTATTTGGATACGACTTCTATTTAAAAAATGGGTATTTGGAAACGAATTCTATTCTTTAAAAAAAAGGTATTTGGATACGACTTCTATTTTATTTCCGTTATGTTAACTGACCTGGAAAATATTCTTTAGCCAAAATTGTGCTGACTATTTAAATGTTTGTTTTCAATAAAAAGTTCATTCTTTTTACAAACTCACAAACTTCTAAGGGCACTTTGAATAAATCGATATGCAACAAACGGCAATCATATCTAGACACAGCCCAGTATATACTCACTGGTGTTATAACATTACCTGTCTTGGTCTAGACACAGTCCAGTATATACTCACTGGTGTTATAACATTACCTGTCTTGGTCTAGACACAGCCAAGTATATACTCACTGGTGTTATAACATTACCTGTCTTGGTCTAGACACAGCCCAGTATATACTCACTGGTGTTATAACATTACCTGTCTTGGTCTAGACACAGCCCAGTATATACTCACTGGTGTTATAACATTACCTGTCTTGGTCTAGACACAGCCCAGTAGATACTCACTGGTGTTATAACATCGTCTGTCTTGATCTAGACACAGCCCAGTCTCCAAACACTGGTCTTATAACATCACCTGTCTTGATCTAGACACAACCCAGTCTCCAGACACTGGTCTTATAACATCGTCTGTCTTGATCTAGACATAGCCCAGTCTCCAGACACTGGTCTTATAACATCGCCTGTTTTGATCTAGACACAACCCAGTCTCCAGACACTGGTCTTATAATATCGTCTGTCTTGATCTAGACACAGCCCAGTCTCCAGACACTGGTGTTATAACATCGTCTGTCTTGATCTAGACACAACCCAGTCTCCAGACACTAGTCTTATAACATCGTCTGTCTTGATCTAGACACAGCCCAGTCTCCAGACACTGGTGTTATAACATCGTCTGTCTTGATCTAGACACAACCCAGTCTCCAGACAACTGGTGTTATAACATCGTCTGTCTTGATTTCGACACACCCGGTCTCCAGACACTGGTGTTATAACATCGTCTGTCTTGATCTAGACACAACCCAGTCTCCAGACACTGGTCTTATAACATCGCCTGTTTTGATCTAGACACAACCCAGTCTCCAGACACTAGTCTTATAACATCGTCTGTCTTGATCTAGACACAGCCCAGTCTCCAGACACTGCTGTTATAACATTGTCTGTCTTGATCTAGACACAGCCCAGTCTCCAGACACTGGTCTTATAACATCACCTGTCTTGATCTAGACACAACCCAGTCTCCAGACACTGGTGTTATAACATCGTCTGTCTTGATTTCGACACAGCCCAGTCTCCAGACACTGGTGTTATAACATCGTCTGTCTTGATCTAGACATAT